CCCCCCCCCCCCCCTCCCTTGCGAAAGCTTGGATTTCATTGCTGCAGATTGCGCTGTGTGCGGAAACGGCTACACTCCATCTCTCGCTCACAGTTGTACGCGATGCTCACGCTCAAGGCGCCAGGGACTCATGGTCGCCACGGTATTCGTCGCGCTTCTTGCGGCCTGTGCAACTGTGGCAACGTTCCGATATTTGCTGTCGACGGAATTTGAAATGAGAAACATTGGCTGCTTCCGCAAGACATTCTGAGCCATACCCCTTCAGGCCTTCAAAATCATCATCGTCGTGTGGCAGATATTGACACAGGTACACGTGACTGCGTTATGGATTGAACGCTTCGCTGCATACGGGTGTGCCAGGTAGACACACCCGCACCCGCAAACGGTGTTAATAGCTCTCGTAGGGTATGCTTGTACGGAATAGGAGGGACTTGTGTTTGTTCGGAGCTTCTTGTCGAGGTGCCTTTTGGAATAAGCTAGTTCAGGGAGTCAACAAGTGTCAACTGCCAGGCGACTATTACCTCCACATGTGAAACCCTCACATTGCTTTTGGTCCGATGTTGTCCTGCGCCGTTTCCCGCGCAGTTCGCAGCCGCAGCCAACGTCACCTACCCGCGCGTGTACCAGGACTTTCTGAGCGCTATCGACACAATCAACGTCGACCTTGGTTTCATGATTTCCGCCGGGTGCTTATGGTCAGGCATTGACTTCCACGGTCGGCTCCTTGTCGATACTATCGGACCTTTGCTTGCGACTGATATGCTCGCTTCGACGGACTTGGTCGCGTTGCGTAGGAACGCCACGGCCGGCCACGCTATACTGGAAAAGATACGTCACAAGCACGTCACGGTTTTGCTCTTGGTGACGTTTCTGGTGTACTCCTCGGTATCATCAATGGTGTTCCAAACTTTCGCTTGTAACTCCCTTGACGACGGCAACAGCTACCTCCGGGCGGACTACAGGATTTTTTGCACGACTTCGAAACACCTGGCTCTTCAAGTGTATGCCGGCGTCATGGTCGTTGTATACCCAGTGGGCATCCCCCTCCTGCACGCCATCCTGTTGTTTCAACATCGTGATATTTTGGTCAATGCCAGTGCAGACAAGGCGGCAACTCAGCCGATTGCCAGCTTGTGGGAGGCGTGCAAACCCGTGCGCTTCTATTTACGAAGTCATAGAGTGCGGACGCCGTACTATCATGCTCACGGGCGTGGTCGTGTTCATATACCCTAGTGATGCGGCTCGAATTGCGATAACTATTTTGATTGCCGTATTTTTCTTCGCGGTTGTCGGTATTTTGTCGCCATGGACTGCACATCTGAGTTCGACACGTGGCTTTCGCGTGGGGGTCAAATCGTTGTGTTCCTGAGCATGTTCGACCTGTTGCTGCTCAAGGTAGATGTATCCTACGAACGCAGTCAGAGTTAGCAGGCTTACGCTGGAGCGCTTGTGGCAGGCCACGTGTTGATGTTCCTCGCTATTTCAGTCGAGGTGGTAGGCATCTGCTACGTATCGAGGAGGAACAGAGTGATGGAGGAAGACAAGGCGTTCTTGAGCTTTCCCGGGTTGAGGGCGCGTGCAACATCGGACGGAACCCCTGTGTTTGAGAGGTCTCCTGCATCGTGAAATCGGTGATGCTGATGCGACAGGTCTCCGGGTCGGAAAATCCTGACCCGACTCGAAGGGTGCCCGAGGACGTGGTGATGGGTATGCCGTTGCTCGAGTGTTTGTATCGCGTTTATGTAGTGACATTGATCGTGCTTCATTGTTCAATTGCGTAGCAAGGGCACCCATAATCTGGCTGTGCACGGTGATAGACGTGGTGGTGATCAACCTTGCAGCCTGGGGCTGCTACGGTTTGTTTGCGAGCTGGGAACGTGAAGTGCATAATGATAGTTGTGTTTGAACAGGGTAATGGTTGTCGAGTAAACCAGACTGTAGGTCCCGTGTTTGGCGTCATTAGACTACGTCTTGTGAGTTCCCGAGAAGAATGTACGTAGACCAGTGTTGTTGTGAGCGTTACATTGTAGTGTGCGCGGTTGTAGGTGATGTGAGCTTTCGGATTTTGAACTTGGCAAGATGCTGGCGCGATGTGAACTTCGAAGGTTTTCGGCGAACCACGAAGTCTGAAGCTGAGCCGCACCTGCTAGTTGTAGAGTAGGCTGCCGCTTTCTGCACGTTGAGGTGCAATGATGGCGACCAATATAGAGTGAGAACATGGAGCATTACACTCTCTACGTCGAGGACCCCTGCTGCCTTCCATAAGAGAAAAAAGATGCTTCTTAACAGAGACGCGACAAATAGAGGGTGATTTCGGTCTTCTCGCGGTGTGATCAAGTTTCCTCCACCCTTCGAAGCATTGAATGTGATCCCTAGGCGAAAAAGGCAACACGCAAACCCCGGACACACCCTGGCTCCTCCGTACAACATGTTTCCTAATTACACCTTTAGCACCTTCCCGGCAAAACAAGTTTGTCATACACAACCGCTGTCACACTGTGTCGTTTTGAGCCTGATACCCACAGGGGAAAATTTGCAATACGGTATCGTGTTCCAAACTCTTCTTGGGGGTGAATTTGGTGGAGCGCTTGGGGGTCATTCTAGTGAAGTCGCGGGAGTGAAAATGTTTTCTACGCAACCTGGAAAAATGTGTTAGGTGGAATGCCTTTGGTGGAAGTCGTGAAAGCGCCTTGGGTTGTTCAACACAAGTCGTGAAATTGAAGTGGGCTTCCACGGAAGCTGGGACGAGGTGCCATTTGTCAACCACTGTTGGATGAAATGCCTTCGGTGGATGTCGTGGAAGCGCCTGGGGTCGTTGGTACGGAAGTCGTGGAAGTGAAATCGACCTTCACGAAAGATGGCACCATGTCATACTTGATAAACAGCGGTAGATAAAATGCCTTTGGTGAAAGTCGTAGAAGCGCCTGGGTTTCTTCTACGGAAGTCGTGGAAGTGAAATCGACTTCGACGGAAGTTGGGACAAGGTTTCATTTGTTAAATATATAGCGGTAGATGAAATGCCATCGGTGGAAGTCGTAGAAGTGCTTGGGATTGTTCTTCAACAGGTGCGGAAGTGAAATCGACTTTCACTGAAGATGGGACGAGATGCCATTTGCCGAGTTGCGGTAGATGAAATACCATTGAACAAGGTTTTGGTGTGATTGAGAGCGAAGTTTCTGATTGAGAGCGAGATTGCGCGATGCGCTGTAGCTGGACTACCGCTGAGAGGTGGAGCTTGCTGCGTGACTTGAATTGAAGGCCTAGCCCGTAGCTACAAGCCGATACCCTGGTCATCCTGTGGACGTCTCTTGTTGTGGAGCTACAGCGGGGAGCAGAATCTACAGCAGAGCTCACCGCCCGCGATCAAATCGCCCTGAAACAGTTTGAGGCAGGAATAACCAATCTGGGGAAATCTAGCAACTTGTCTAGCTTCTAGCTGCAGCATCCGATCGCGATGACACGCATATGCTCGTGACGCTGCTGATGAGACCTTCAATTTGCGCCGCTTCTTGGAAGAGCCCGCCCCCTACTTCCCAAGAAATGGCAAGAGGCGTCTGGACCCGAAATTTCATTTTTTTTGGCTCCCGTTCTCAATCGTATACTCCGCTCTCAATCAGGCGAAAACCCTGTTATTGGTGGAAGTCATGAAAACGCCTGCGTTGGTTCTATGGATGTCGTGGAAGTGAAATATACTGCCACGGAAGTTGGGACGAGGTTTCATTTGTCAAATAGCGGTAGATGAAATGCCATTGATGGTAGTCGTGGGAAGCACCTGGGATTGTTCTTCAAAAAGTATGGAACTGAAACAGACTTCCACGGACCTCGCACGAGATGTCCTTTGTCAAAAAGTGTGAGGTGAAATGCCGCCTGGAGTTGTTCTACAGTGGTCGTGGCAGTGAAATCAACTTCCACGGAAGCTGGGACGAGGTGCCATTTGTCAAATTGCGGTAGATCTACCGTCATTCTACAAGAGTCGTGGAAGTGAAATAGACTTCCACGAAAGCTGGTACGAGGTGTCATGTGTGGAATTGTGTTGGATGAAATACCATTGGTGAAAGTTGTGGAAGTGTCTGCGGTCGTTCTTAGGAAGATGTGGGAGTGAAATCGACTTCCACGAAAGCTGGCACGAGGTGTTGTTCGTCACCCAGTGTTGGATGAAATGCCTCTGGTGGATGTCGTGAAAGCGCCTGCGGTCGTTCTACGGATGACGTTGAAGTAGAATTGACTTCCACGGAAGTTGGCTCGGGGCTTCATTTATCAAGTATTTTTGGATGGAAGGCCTTCCGTGCAAGTCGTGGAAGCGCCTCGGGTCATTCTACGGAAGTCGTGCGAGTGAAATCAACCTTCACGGAAGCACGCAAGTAGCGTCATTTTTCAAATAGTGTTCGGCGAATTCCCTTTGGTGGACGTCGTGGAGCGCCTGGGATCCTTCTACGGCACTCATATGAGTCAAATTGCCTTCCACGGAAGCTGGCACGAGATGTCATTTGGGATGTCATTTGTTTAATAGCGGTGGATAAAATACCTTTGGTCGAAATCGTGGAAGCCCCTGGGGTCGTTCCACGAAGGTCGTGGAAGTGACATTGACTTCCACGGAAGCTGGCACGAGGTGTCATTTGTGAAACATTGTTTGATGAAATGCCTTTGATGGAAGTCGTGGAAGCGCCTGGCATCGTTCTACGGAAGACGTGCAAATGAAATCAACTTAGACGGAAGCTGAGACGAGGTGTCATTTGTCAAATATAATAGTGTTGGATGAAATGCCTTTGGTGGAAGTCGGGGAAGCGCCTGGGGTCATTGTATGGAAGTCCTTGAAGTGATATCGGCTTCCACGGAAGATGGCACGATATGTCATTTGTCCTATGGTGCTATATGAAATGCGTCTGGTTTAGGTCGTGGAAGCGTCTGGGGTCCCGAAGTCGTAGAAGTGAAGTCGACTTGCTCGGAAGGCGGCAAGAGGTTCATACTGTGAAAGAGTGTGAGGTGAAAAAACTTTGGCAGAAGTTGGGAAGCGCCTGGGGTTGTTCTACGTACGTCGTAAAAGTGAAATCGACTTCTACGGAAGCTGGCACGAGGTGGCATTTATCAAGTAGCGTTATGTAAAATGCCTGTGGTCAAGTCGTGGAAGCGCCTGGGGTATTTCTGCGGGAATCGTGGAAGCAAAATAGAAAACGGAAGTTGGCACGAGATTTCATTTGTCCTTTGTTGCTATATGAAACGCCTGTGATCGAAGTCGTGGAAGCGCCTGAGGTCGTTCTACGGAAGTCGTGGAAGTAAAATCGACGCCCACGGAAGGTGGCAAAAAGTTTCATTTGTCGAAAGTGTGGGGTGTAATGCCTTTGGTCGAAGTCGAGGAAGCGCCTGGGGTTAGTCTACAGAGGTCGTGGAAGCGAAATTGACAACGGAAGCTGGGACGGGGTGTCATTTGCGGAACAGTGTTGGACGAACTGCCTATGGTAGAAGTGGCGGAAGTGCCTGGGGTCAATCTACGGAAACCGCGGAAGTGAAATCGGTTTCCACGGAAGCTGGTACGAGGTGCCTTTTGACGAAAGGTGTTGGATGAAGTTGCAAGGGCGCCTGGGGTCGTTCTACAGACGTGGTGAAAGTGTAATCGACTTCCACAATAGATGGCACGAGGTGTCATTTGTGAAACGATTTTGGATGAAATGCCTTTGGTGGAAGTCACGGAAGCATCCGGGGTCATTCTACTAAGTCGTGGAAGAGAAATTGACTTTGACGGAAGCTTGCAAGAGGTGCCATTTGTGAAATGCGGTAGATGAAATGGCAGTGGTGGAAGTCGTAAAAGCTCCCAGGGTGGTTCTGCGGAAGTCGTGTAAGTGAATCGACTTGCACGGAAGGTCGCAAGAAATGTCATTTGTCAAAGGGTGTGAGGTGAACGGCCGTAGGTCGAAGTCGCCGAAGTGAAATCGACTGTCACGGAAGCTGGCAAGAGGTGTAGTTAGTCAAATAGTATGAGGTGAAACGCCCTTGGTGGAAGCCGCGGAAGCCACTGAGGTCGTTCTACGGAAGACGTGGAAGTGAAACCGACATGTATTTCTCTCGAGGTGTACATGCCAACTACGGCTTTCGAAAACCAGGGCTGAAACCGAGCGAGAAACTCACGCTTTTCAAGAGAAACTCGCTCTCGCCAGTATTCGAACCCACAACACCGACTGCTAGAACGATGCAAGGATACAAAATTAGCCTTGGGTTGCTACCAGGCTCCAGCCCTCGTGAAACAGGGACAAACACCCGTGCAGAAATGCAGGAACAGGGCTGCAAAGTACGGAGCTAGATGCTAGCAACGTGCATCATGTAAGCGTTTGAGTTTGGTCTGTCCGCCATTCCCCTTTGCGCTCTTGAGCTTATCGACAGTCGCGGGATCCTCGACGGGGTACGTCTTGGGGGCTTGCTTGATGAGCATGGTATCGTCGCAGCAGGTGTCGTCGTGGCAGACGTCTACTCCTGAAAGCTCCTTGAGCCACATGGCAGGATGATGACAAGGTTAGGAAGCACGATATAGTTAGCAGTCGGCCAGGTGTATCAACTAGCCGTACAAGTTCAAGCGCACGGGAACGAGACGCAAACCGTGACTCGGGGCGTCCTGGGTGACCACGTAAAGGCGT